AATCCTTTTCTATAATGCCTGTCTATATGATAAGATTAGAAGCATTTCTGATATTTTATGCTTGTGTCTAGTAAACAGTAGAGAAAATAAAAGGACGATAAAAATGTTAAGAAAAAGATTCTAGTATCAGAAGTAAAACATTCAACTATTGTGTTTTCATTGTTCTTTCAGACATTCTCCAAAAAGTAAGGAATTGTGAATTAATACCATGGAGACATTTTTCATTTTGCCACAATTTTCTGGAATCTTCCAGAATCATGGGTCTATAAATCTTGCCTTCAAAACTTTCCCAGCTGCAATGTCTAAAATCTTAAAAAAAAATTACTCCTACCAATTCAGTAACAGCAAAAAGCCAGAAATATTTGGGGGGGGGATCGGACGAAAAAAGTGTAAAATTAATTTTACAGAGAAAACTGACGCATATTCTGAGACAATTACATGAGAAAACTCTTACCATGAAAAAATTTAAAAGACATTTTTTAATTAATTACATAGCTATTTTGCTTTTGCTAAGAACTGTTTCGTAAATTGTGCTTTATAGCATTATACCTTGCTTATTTTTCAGATTCAAAATATTGTATAAGTGGCCAAAATGGAACTTTATAATACAACAGCAAAAAATAAAAATGCTTTATTTTAATGTTATTTCTTAAATGTAATTACAATACATTATCATTATTTTAATGAAATTTATCAATGTTACAATGTTCTAAAAAAATCGTCGAAAAATTTCCAGATCTCGGAATTAAATTTTTTTTTATAGAAACTGATCTTAAAGTCGCCAAATTTAGAGCAATTTAATAAAAGAATTCATATCTCCAAAAGCAAAAAGTTGTTTAAGAGTTCTTCACTAGAAAAAATGAAATAATCAAAATGCTTGTGTTGCACTTCTAGCTCAGAAACTCTATCCCACCATTTAAATTAGAAATAGGAACAATTTATAACCCATGTACGCGAACACCCATTAAAAAAATAACGATATTTGTCAGCAAATTCCAAAAAATATTCCTCCAAAATGCTAATTCACACTCAAAATGGCAATTGAAAACATAGACAGAAATTTCAGATGATTAAATTAAGGACCTTCTGCCAATTTTGGCCGAAATTAAGGACTTTTAAGGACCAAAAATCGATTCCTAAAAACTTAAGGACTTTTAAGGACCATACAAACCCTGTGTAGCATACTGGAGTAAGTGCCTCTCTAAATCAGACAGGAATTACTGAGTCACAAGGAAAGTGTTGCTCACCATAGTTAAAGCGGTACATTTCCACCATTACCTTTATGGCAGAAAATTCCTGCTCTGCACAGATTATGAATTGCTGACCAGCTGAGTCAGGTACAAGAGGAATGTTCCCAACCAAAATTTTGAACTGTGAGTTATGGTTCTTGGGATCATTTGATTATATTCATGTGATTTAAAAACAAATCTTGACAGTGAATATCTTTGTAATGATGCAGATGAAATAGTTCATAGGGAAGGGAAAAAAACGAGCATTTCAGTGTCTTGTAGAGTATAGAAAAATTTAAATGGTATTCACTTTGGTCAAAATTACATTGTATAGTTCCTCTGTGTCTTAGAATTATTTACAACAGAAGAAAAATTGATTGAGAGCTTTACTGATAACCAAACAGTCAGTCAACAACTACTACCAAAACAGTAATAAAAAATGTCCAAGAATCTTATTTTCCTGAAGAGCTCTCTTGTTTAAACACATCGAGAGAATTAAAAAGTGTGTGCAATTGAGTAATACAATTAACACGCTTCCTAGATTAAGAAGGCACCATTTGTGTAGGTAGTCGCTAGAAAAATGCAAACATTCCTGAAAATAACAGACATCCTATTTTGCTTTCAAAAGAAGGACACATCACTAATCTCATTGTAACTCATTATCATTTCCATTATTTGCATGCTAGTCAAGAGTTATTGATAAGCACTTTATGAATGCAGTTTTGGATTCTGTTGGTGAGACGTGTAGTGAGAAAGATAATTCACAGATGTATTCCTTGTATTACAGATCAAGGCAACACTGTGACCCAGATAATCGGTAATTTACCCTCGCCCAGAGTTCAACCTTTAAGACCTTCTGCAGTTATTGGTGCTGATTATGCTGGTCTATATTCAATTAAATCCCAAGTTAGGAGAAGAGCTAAAACTTTCAAGTGTTATGTATCCATTTTTGTGTGTTTCTCAACATAAGCTGTACATTTAGAGTTAGTCAGTGACTTATCTACTTCAACTTTTTTTTGCAGCTCTAAAGATATTTATCGCCTGACAAGACAAACCATCCGAAATTTCAAGTAACAGTGTGGCTAATCTCAAGAGGTGCTTGTAAGGAACTGAAGGAGATTTATAAAAGTGCAGCTTGCATCTAGAAAAGCAATGACGTATGTAATTACATTACCTTAGAAGGTATAATGTGGTTATTTAAGCCTCTGACACCCCCCTCACTTTGGTGGTTTATGGGAATCTAATATAAAGTTCATGAAATTTCAACTTATATGAGTATTGGTATCCTTAATTCTAACTGAAAAGGAACTTTTAGCAGTGCTGATACAAATGGAAGGGTGTATGAACTCCCATCCTCTATGTGTGACATCAAGTGATCCAAATGACTTTAGTGCATCAACACCAGGTAATTTTTTGACTGCAGCCCCTTTACTTGCCATTCCTGATTCTGACTTGAGTGATGTTAAGTCTTCCAAACTAAAACTTTTTTATCTAGTTCAACAAACTGCGTAACATTTTAGAAAAAGATAGTCTGCAGAGTATTTGACAACTCTTCAACAATGCACAAGTGGTTTCGTGCAACTCCAAATCTAAAATGTGGCGACTTGGTTCTGATCAAAAATGAACAACCACCTCCAGACCAACAGAAAATTGGAAGAATTGCCCTAATTAATCCAGGCAGCAACAAAAGAGTTAAAGAGTTTGAGTAACTACAGTTAAAAACAGTTGCTAGTGATTTTAAAACAGCAGTGACTAAATTGTATCTTATGCCTAGTAATGATTAAATGTGAACTAATGATTTACATATTTTTACCTTACATCTCTCTCTCTCCCCCATATATATGCATTACCTTTCACAATTAATTACTTTCCAGCATCAAGTGGGAAACACTTCATTATTTTTTTTAATTTACAATTTTTACTTAAATTACGTATTTTGCACTTTTATTGGCATTTTAAATCACTGTTACTTTCTTCTGCTATTAAGTTTCATGTTTATTGTTACTGTTAAAAGTATTGCAATTTTTTTAAATTAAGAGAAAAATACAGGTATTGAAAATTTGCAAATTGCTAAGTTTATACTGTAAGATCGATGGAGGTTTCCTACTGAATACAAATCACATCACTTTCTTTAACTGCTCTGATACCTTAGCAGCTCAGAGCAAATAAGATACAAAATCTCCCTGTATAGACAAAATGCTGTCAGGCTACATGTGTGCAAGGGAGACTTGTTTGGATATATGCCTCCTCATTTGGATGTTCAAGAGCCAGTGATCAGCACAGGAAATCATGCTGATTGCTTTTTTCTGGATGAGAAGAGTATCATCCTTCTTGATTTTCTAGAACCTGGCCCACTGTGATCAGCATGTGGAACATTAATCTAAGGTTTAAGGGCATAAAATTCCGTATGGAAGGATGTCTTTCCCATTCATTATACATGAAACTTTTGGGTAGATCCTGATAAATCCAGTTTCAGGTTAGAAGCATATTGAAAGAAAATGAATCAAGTTACAAAGTGAGAGGGTTATTTTGAAATTATAATCAAGAAACTACTGCTTATTTATGACATACTAAGCAACTTTGAAATTTCAGGGCTAAACCCATTAAGCTCAGAAGGGGTTAAGACATTTCAGAAGCTTAGAAAAGTCAGACAAAAGATCTGAAAAGTCCATACTCATTATGTCCATATTCATTACAACTATGTATGACCACACAAATCATTGTACATAAATGAGGCAATCAAGAAATTAGGCCGGCCAAATTAGGCCCCATGCAGATTTGGTACACTCAGATTTCTATCTGTCTGATCCAATGAAAGTCTTAGGGTATAATGATCTGATGAAACTGGCTGTGAACAAGTGTATACAACAGCATACCTGAATTTCTTTAAAGAAGATTCAAGAGTTCACCACTTGTAAAAATGCATCACCTGTGATGGAGACTATACTGAGTAGTACTTTTGTACTACGAAAGAGTTGTTCTACAAATACAAAGAATTTGAACAATGTATGTCAGTTAATAGAAAAAAGTTACACAATTTTTTGCACTATAGGTACAACATTTGTAAAGGAAAAATAGATAACATAATGAGTAGTCTCTGAAGATGGATATAAAAAATTGAATTTGGGAAAAAAAGATGCTATATTTATATATATATATATATATAAATCTATTCCTTTTGTTAATAAGTGAAAAAAAAAGTATAACAGTCTAATTTAAAACTGGTGAAATTATGTTTCAAATAGTCAAAACAATCTATAAATATTTGTAAATTATTAAACTATTAAAAAATAATTAAAAAACAGCTGTTCAAAAAAAGGTATATCAGTTAGAAAGAATCAAATCACCCCAGACAAACAATGCCTAAATTAAAAACTAAACAAAACAAACACTAACAAAATAAATGCTTATAAAAAATTAGTTATGTCACTAAAACAAACATTAACAGCAATGGAGAAATAGGTAATAAAGCTACGGCTACTGAAAAGAAAAATCAAGTAATATTTGAAAATATTAATTAAAAAAACAAAACAATGAAAACAAGAGTTAATTAAATCATATAAATGAAATGAAGTTAGCAAATATTTTACTCTATAAGCTAGCGTGGATTGCCCAACATTTCTAATTTGGATACTAAGATTACAATAAACACCACATTCTACACATAACCAAACAATTCTAAGGAATGTACTTAGATGTCATAGCACTTCAATCAATCCTATGTAACAATTTATCAAATCAAAATTATAAATAACAATACTGATACTTTACCAAGTGATAATATAAGATAAATGTTCATTCCTAAATGTAATTCTAGTTTGTCCACCAATTGGTCCTCCTGGAACAGTAGTTTCAGCATCAAGAAATATTGGTGCTGCTCCTGTAATCTCGGTCATTTTTGGAACATCACGATAGAAGAAAAAATCAGAATTAGGTTGATGCTTAGGAGAAAACTGAGGTCTCTGAAAAAAATGAATCATCACAAAATAAATTCAATTTACTATTTCTAACTTAAGAAGCTTAGTGGTCACTGATTTCACTCAAACTCTGCATAATTAAAGACAACCTTCAAGTAAATATGTCAGCAAATACTTAATGTGCACTGTGCAGTAAAAATAGAGTAAACTGAGCTTAAATTTTTAAGTAATATTTATCACATTTAAAATTTGCCTTTTGCTACAAGCACTGATAGCATATAACAGAGCTTCAGAAGCAAAGTCTGCAATTTGAAAATAGCTAGGGGCAGTGTTATAACTTTTTATCAGCATTACTGATTCTTTAACATGTATTTATTTTGAAGAAAAATTCCCCATGTAAAATATTTTAAAGGAAATAACAAACACATATGTTGATGTGATATAAAAATTTCATAAATAAAAGCAATTTTTATTTATTTTATTCTTATTTATTATTACACTTTATTTATAAGTGATAAATAATATTTATCATAACAACATTTGTAAGGATCTTAAGTTTTACTAATGTTTATTTTATTTTAAAACTTTACTATCCACCCTTTTTTTCCACTTCCAGCCAGAAGTAAAAGTGTTAACTTATTTATGCAAATTGTACTTGCTAACGCCCAGGAATTTAATTTGTCGCTTTTTGCTAAGAGTTAGAGAGAGGGAAAGTGAGCCGCCTTGCCACTGCATTCCGCATGAGGTTTCAATCAGCTGCTGTTTGCCTTTAAGGCCAGAGATTTAGTCCTCTCGTTTTTTAAAATGTATTGTAGTTTCGGCAGTTTGCATACTACATACATAATAATTTAAAAGGCCAGTCTTAGCATTAGGGCCATTGTGTTAAACTAATTCAAAGTTAGCTCTTTAGCTAGTAGTTTTTTATATTTTTACATTCAAACCACAAGTGGTTGGTCTTTGTATCCCAAAGTATGAAAGCACCTGTATTATTGTGGAAAATAAAGGGTAACTAAACCCTTCTCATCTTGTTATTTCTTCAACACTCCTCAAGAAATAGTTCGTAGTCAAACTCCCTGTCCAGTCAGGGCACGCAATATTCTCGAAACAAATCAAAAGACATACAAGTTGTGACTCATTAAAAATATCAAATGTTAGCATTGAGCATATTCAATGTATAATAATTAATAACAATTTAATTTTTTAATCATAATGTGCATTTGTGAAATTTAAAAGTACAGTGAAGGATGTGGTCATATATGGGTCCATCTAAATTTCAGGTAATACAGAGAAAGACTTTTATGAATATTATTAATGTATGATTTTCACTAAAATTAAAAAGCTGCTCTGGGATGGAAAAATTAAGTTGTGACAAACCATTGCTCAATCATGCACATAGAATAAACCATTTACTTTATGTATAATGCATCATCTTTCCATGTGCCAGAATAATCCATCATTTATTCATGTCCATAGAATAAATTACCATTTATTATTATGCGTGATGCAAAATTTTTATACTTTCAATCTTTTTTATGGTAAACATAATCTACAGTTGTACGAAAAGTCCAAGAGTTAGAACAAAATACATAAAAGTATTTTTATAGGACATCATTTTTAATGTTATTCCAGTAAAAATATTTACTTAGCAACTATTTTTTAAAATAACAATATTAGTAGTTATTAATATTACTGATAAAAAATGCTGTTTTCATCAACTGGATTTGAACTGCAGACTTTTGATTTGAAGTTCTGAATACTGGCAAGTAGTCTATCAGTGTTTCAGCACATTAAAAAGAGAACCTAAATACTATTATATTACTAATATTTACTTTACAGTTGAGCAGCTTAAGGTGCAGCATTTGAGCTAAATTGATAAAACCAAGCTTTTGCTCACTTTTTGTTATCACCATAATGAAAAAATACAGAAACACTTCTTATTGCATACACCTACCACAGAAAATTATCTCTGAAAATCTACAGAACAAATTAAAAAATCATCAGTATTACACATCAGTCTTCTAAGATGGCCACTTACACTGAACGGAACCATGAACAGTCATCTTATGAATATTTCATCATTGTGTTCCCTGCATATTAATTTACATACATATGGAAACTTGTATGATAAAAAATTTAATGTTTGTTTTCCTGGCAAGTAAAACACAGGTGAATTTCATTAAATTCTGATAATAAAATGCAGTGGTCAGATTGCATGCTTGCCAAATGCATAATCGGGAAAACAGTTGATAAGCTGGAATTTTTTTTAACAAAATGAAAATTTTTTAATTAACAAAATAACAAATATTTTAATTAATTTCAAATTTTACTTACTAAATATTACTCAAAGCATATATAACAATAATAATAACATCTCAAAGAAAAAAAAAATCAAATTTATATGTATTTCCTATTTGAAATCTGAAATTTGGCACTTACAAGACACTTTTGTAGGTTACACTTTATAATTCATACATATTAACAACTAAATGTTAAATTTTAGAAATGATATTTATTTCAAATAATTCTTACATATTTAATCAATCATTAAATAACTTGCTTTAATTTAAACTGAAAAAAAAAGGAGTACAGAACACTTTCTATGTTTTCAGTGAAAATTTTCAAGTAGGGTAAAACTTCAGAATAAATAATGACTAGTCTTATTTCTCTTATTTATGAAATTTGTCTTTGAAGAATAAATAAAAATGCATTATGTTGTATGTAGACTAACATAAACGTCTCTACTTCTTCCTGCAGCTTGACATTTGATGGCATTTCAATTTTGATAAAGTCCGTAGCCTTAGAGACAAATTACTAGAAATTATATTCATCAGAGACTGTGGACACTCATCATCCACCAGGTTCTTTTTTTTTTTTTCCTTAATTTTCAACTGTGAATAAAAGCTGTTCACATATAAATGTGTACCTGAAAAAATCGATTGTTTTTAGAGAAAAATTCATAACTAAGCTTATTTACTTTTTTTGGCAAGTATGCAGAAAAGTTAATAATATTTGCATCTTTAAATTTTTGAATAAGATTTATATCATACTGTAAATTAATTAGCTCCATTATTAAATAATCTGGTGCATTATTTATGTTCATTTTTATGGTAATGAAAACAATGTAAACTTGGCCTTTAAACAACTAAAATCTTGAAATCTCTGCAACAAATATATATTTAAAATGCATTCACAAGCTGCATAAAATTGTGTGTACCAAGGAACATAAAATTCTGAGAGATGCCAATTTGAGACCACTAATATAATGCACATGTAGCAATTTTTAGGTCAGCTGATATTTGTGTGAATTAAATGACGCGCACACAGGACCTAATGAGCCAATGATAATGAAAAATCAAATACTAGTATTTAATGATATTATCAATTCAGTCCTTGTCCTTGGTGATCCTACTTCTTTAAAAAAATAGAAAAGTTATCATAACATTAAAGGCCTTGAAAGGTCTTTTAATTTAGTTTCAGAATAGTTTATAAAGCACATACTGATGGTTTATTATTTTCTTTATTTATAGCAAAAGAGACCATAACTCAATGAATTTAATTTCAGAACACTTTAGAAGATGCATATGACAGTTTGTTACTTTGCTGATATTAATTACAATAAGCTATCAGAATCAATATTGGAGGTAACATGTGAATAAGAAATATCTAATTATGTTGAGCAGACATATGCATATATAGTTTTTACTTCATTAAAAAATACTATATAGCTTTCATTTATTTTATTAGTTTTTAATGTTAAAATAATTTACAATAACCAGCAGAATATTCTATATTTAAGACAGTTAAGATATGTATCAGTGACCAGCTGGTAAACTGGCCCAGTGACCAAGTTAGCTACATGAGCATTTTCATGCTTTTCATTGTGTGTAACTTAAAATATATGACAACAAGGTCGTAAAAGAATAACAACTACTTCTCCAGATCGATATCTCACAATAACTGCCATCATAACAGAAAGTCTACTACTCGGCAGTTAAGGTCAGTGCTTGCAGCCATGACAAGAACACCTGTGGCATGGAAAACTGTATACAGAAAGCTTAATGAAAAACTCTTCATGTCAGAAAGCCAAGGTTATGTGTTTCACTGTCTTCACAACAAAAGAAGGACTGCTTTAACTGGTGCAAAGAACATCAGAACTAGAATGAACACCAATAGTTCCCATGATTTCTTTACTGATGAGTCCAGATTTAATTTAGCATTTGATTCTAAATGCATTTTCATTTGTAAGGAATCAGATATGTAAAATTTCCTATGAACATTATGAAACATGAATGTTTCAATAAAGTAGGTCTAATGGTACGTGAAGGAATCATAATCAATAGATGTTATGCTTCTACATGTTTCCAACAACTGATCTGTTGATCTGTAGATATTAAGATGAGGTCTTAGAACCTTATGTAAGAATTTTCAGAAGTGCATATGGATGACTTTTCCATTCACATTGAGCAAACCTCATTGACAGGTTCCATGAATGTGAAGATTTTGAGCGTATATCACAGCCAGCAAAATAACCCTAATCTGAAAAGAACAGAGAGCTTCAGGGACTACCTTGTAAAAGTAGTTACATGGAGATATTCCCTTCCTGGAGAAATAAATTCCTGAAGACTGCTCTGCTGGAGAACAAGAACTTTAATGTCCAAACAGTGGTTAACGTTGTCGCTGCCAGCACAAAACATACTGCGACAAGTGTGCAGAATTCAGGCAAGATATTATTCATACTAAATTCCCAAAATTCATAAGCCTTAATTTTTTTCTGAGTTGTTATTTTCTGAACTTTTTTGGTAACATATTATTACCATTTTTATTGTTTTATGCCACAGCTTTATACCATATGCACTACTCTTAAATTTCTTCCTTCTTATTTATGAGTTATGATGTTATGTATCATTCCACAAAAACTTATGATATTATAGTTCACAGCTTCTGAGAAATCTCTGATTTCATGCATGTAAAGAAATTTCAGACATGAATGTAATTATTTATGTCCGAAAAATCACTATGTTCCTTATGTTTGTACAAGCTATGCCAAACACAGATAAATTGTTCATTTCAAACTTTTTTTTTCAGTGGTTCTTTACGTAAGTACCATTAACTGTTAAATATAAAAATATAAACTGACACCGGAAAATACATAGAAAGAAATTAGATGGACCTTTACTTTTTCAGGAAGTCTTACAGTTCCAACTAAATCAATTTCTCCTGTCACCTGTAAAATAAACATCTTGTAAAATATACAAACTAATTTGATCTGGCATACATATATATAAAAATAAAGCAATGCATGCTAATAGCTAATTTATGAAAATCTATTTTTTTTAATTTCATAATTATTTTGTCAGATAAATTTTTATCTAAATAACAACAGTGGAATTCTAATAATCCATATAACCTGGGCAAATGATTGTGCAGGTTGGAGGATTTGGGGATTACAGATCATATTTTCCTGAGTTTTGCTTCTAATATTTGTCTTAAATTTGAACTGTTTGCAAAATTTAGAAAAGATAAAACTATCATACTGCAAGATTTAGAAATCATAAAACTATTATATAGTTTAAATACTATTATGTACTTTTTGTACATAATAGTATGTATATTAAAAAAGAAGTATATAATAGAATGAAAATGAGGTACATGATAAAGAAAATTTTTGAAGGCAATTCTTTTATCATTTTTGAAAATAATTCTTTTATACACCAAAGAATTTTATACAGCAAAGAAAACTGTATATACACCAGTGAAATTAAAGCAATTTTTACACTTTTAAATGAGAAATAATAAAATAAATACATAATATTTACACTGTTTTCAAAAGCCCTAACAATAAAGTTAAATGTAAATTGGGCCTCTATTCTGCTTCTGCCATTCAATTTCAGACATGTATAATTGTGTTGATCCTACAAAGCTACTGACAAAGCTACTTAAATTTTAAATTCATTAAAAGAAAATTTATTTTGTTTAGCCTCTTTTTCTCTACCATATTTTCTATTTTTAATGCAAGAAAAATCCTGATAGATGTTACTTTTAGGAATCTTGTTTTATTTCCTATTGACTGCTTGTTGCCTTTTAGCTATAAGATGCATTTAAGTTGGAACAATTTTTAAAAAATTGTAGACAGATTAATCTTAAAAGACAGCAAAACACATTCAAAACAAGGATTTTAATGTTAAATGAAAAATTTGCAAAGATTCACAATCAGTATTTACTATAAAAACAGAGCACCAATGTGCACACAGAAAATACTACGAGGCGTATTCGGAAACTAAGTACCATTTTGGGGGAAAAAAAAAAAAAAAGTAAAACAATTTTTTCGAATCCAATTTTATTTTTACATGAAAATACATGTCTTAAACTATTTTTCAACATAGTTTCCGCCAATGATCAAACACTTGTCATAGCGGGGGACCAGTTTTTGTATACCATCGTCAGAGAAACTTCCCGCCAGTTTCGATAACCACGACTCCACAGCATTTTTCGTGTCATCGTCAGATCCAAAGCGCTTGCCACCAAGCTCGCGTTTCATGTGCAGGAACAAGTGATAGTCGGACGGCGCCAAGTCTGGGCTGTACGGCGGGTGATCGAACTGGTCCCAATGAAAACTGTCGAATTAACGATTGAGTGACACCAGCAGTATGGGACCGAGCATTGTCATGGAGCAACACAATTCCTTTACTGAGCATTCCTCTTCATTTGTTTTGAATGGCATGCCTTAGTTTTGTTAAAGTCTCACAATATCGTGCCGCATTAATGGTTTCACCCCTGGGAAGAAATTCAGTAAGCAAAACGCCTTTCCTATCCCAGAAGACAGTGCACATGATTGTTTATGATGACATTGTCACTTTGAACTTTTGTTTTTTCAGAGAATGAGTGTGTCTCCACTCCATCGATTGTTGTTTCGATTCTGGTGTGAAATGACACACCCAAGTTCCATCACCTGTCACAATTTGGTTTAAAAAGTTTTCTCCCTCATCACTGTACCGCGTGAGAAATGTCAGGGCACTACCAAGTTGCTTTGTTTTGTGAACATCAGTGAGCATTTTTGGAACCCATCGGGAACACAGTTTGCGATAATTCAAGCGGTCAGACACAATTTCGAACAAAACAGTACGTGAAATTTGTAGAAATGCCTCTGAAAGAGTTGTCATTGTGAAGCGTCTGTTCTCATGAATTGCTTCATCAACTTTCCTTACCAAATCATCGGTGACAACAGAAGGCCGACCACTCCGAGCCTCGGTGTGGACATTTGTTCGACCTGCATTAAACATTCTTACCCACTTTCTCACCATTCCATCACTTATCGCATCGCGTATTCACCGTAAACTTCTGTCACTTGACGATAAATTTCGGCCGGTTTAACATTCCTCGCGTTCAAAAAATTTAATCACGGCACGAATCTCACAGTCAGCGGGAGAACTAATTGTCTTAAACATTTTGAATGTGCACAGCAAACTGAAAACACAACATAGAGCAACCAAAATGGCAACAATTGAAAGTCAGTGAACAAGAAAGACTAGTGCGCATGCGCGGGACGCCTACCACAGCGCTGCAACGGCGCTAGAATGAAACAGTACTTAGTTTCCGAATACACTACGTAAATAACTTCAACAAGAAAATGAACTTCTTCAATGAAATTTACTTATTCAACAAAAATATGTTATAAATAAAGTGCATTTTTGTTAAAAAGTTTAACTCCATATACACTCTGTTGCAAAAATGTGCATCCTGAAAGAATTGAGCCACAACTATGAAACTTGACAGTAGTATAGCGTTTGAGTAGATAAACACCTGATCAAAAACTGAAGAGAAAAAAAAAAGCATTTTACACAAACAGCAATAGAAAGAACGTGTAAAGCTAGCACTGGTAGCTATACAAGCAGATACTTGGCATGGAATCTATTAAGTTGCCAATGTCCCTCTGTGGCAGACTGAGCCACAAATGGAACAACTGGTCACTGAATTGGGATGTATTTGTACATTGCTAAATTTTTCGTCCCAACATGTTCGATGCACGACAGTTCTAGAGACCTGGCAGGCCAGTCGAGGACATTAACATGTTGAAGACACTGTTTTGCTATATATGGCCGAGCACTGTCCCGCTGGAAAACAGAACCTCGACGACCTGCTAGTAAAGGCAGTATGATCAGCTGCAAAATGTCATCAATGTACACTGCTCCAAAAAAAAAGGGGACAGTGCTATATCTCCCGTTCTACTGGACTGATCGACAAAATTCAAACTGCGTTTTTCATGTCTCGAAAGCGCGACTTAGGATATATATTAGATTTATATATAGCACTATTCTAACATAGATATTTTGACACAAAATCGGGCTTTTTCTGAAATAACATACCAATTTTTTTTTACATATTTCAATTCTACGACTCAAATTATGCCTAAATATTAAATTTTGTAAAATTTGATGCGAAATTTACGGAGAAATTCAACAATTTATGCTGCCACTTTTTATTTAGTTTGCGCCAAAAATTAGTTCACGTGGCGAACTTCTTAATATGTGGCAACCTATTTTCATTTCCATTTTTATTTTACATAGTGCGTGAGAGGAAAAAAAGATTCAATCGTACCTTTTTTCAAATAATGTTCTTTATCTCATATTTTTAATTATAATTGTTATTAATTTAAGCAATTTTTTTCTTTTCCGAATTTATTTTAATTGTTTACGCTGCATAGTTTCTTTCGAATAACTGTTTTAAGATTTTCTATTTACTCATTCAAACTGTGTAGTTTAAAATCAAAGGCGCATCGTTTATTATTTTTTTTCAAATAGTTTTGTTTATACAGTAAAAATTGTCTTTAATTCGGACTCGTCGGAAATTCGGCTATTCCTGATTATCGGTTTTTCAGGATTATAGGTCATCAGTTTAAATCTGGTAAGATGGCATGCAGAAATTATAAAATTAAAAATATGAAACCATAATTTATGAAATAAAGCACCATTATGATTTAAAGGGTATCAAAATTTACAAAAAAAAAAAAAAAAAAAAAAAAAAGGTTAATATTTATTTTTTTACTTTATTAAACATTTCTTTTAACGCATGCATGTGTAATGTGTACATTACACATAGTCGAAATTAGAAAATTGCAACCAGAAAACTATTTGATGTGTATTCGTGATATTTATAATGATGAGGAATTTGATGTAAATGATATCAAAGACGAAGTACATCGAGATCAAATACTACATTTAATAAGGAATTATAAGCCGAATAAAATAAAAACATCTGCCCTGAAGATAAGGATAGTGCTGACAGATCAACTTCCAGTTCATTGCGCGCCGCGTCAACCCCCCTTTCCCCCGCAGAGAAATTGATAAACATATGTCGGAATGGTTAGAGAATCAAAGGATATGCCTTTATCCATTTTTTGCAGCAATTTCACTTTTTGTTTGATGGACATCGAAACATACTTTTGTTTTCTAGATCTTTTGGGAGCTCCAGCATCGGAAATTCTATTTGACATAATCGAAAGTTCAAGCTTACTTTTATAAAATTGCTCTAACAGTCTGCAAAAAATAATAAGCTGGATTCAACTAGAAGATTAAGGAATAACGCAATCTGCAACATTAACTGAAATAGATAATTTTAGTTTAGCTTATACAGTCCATTATACATTAAACGCGCATGCGTAAACGTATTATGCACATGCATAGACACATATGCGCGTGCTTTAACGCATTGTGTGTTGACGCATGTGCAGAAAGTTTGTAGCTTTGAGGTTCGGATTATAGATCATTCCGGATTTAATGTTCTTTATCTCATATTTTTAATTATTATTATTAATTTTAAGCAATTTTTTTCTTTTTCGAATTTATTTTAATTGCTTACATTGCATACTTTCTTTTGAATAACTGTTTTAAAATTTTCTATTTACTCATTCGAACTGCGTAGTTTAAATCAAATCATCATTTATTATTTTTTTTTTCAAATAGTTTTCTTATTTATACTATATTTTTAGTTATTATTTTAGGTAATTTTTAAATTTTAGACTTTTATTTTAATTGTTAGTGTTGCATTGTCTCTTTAGATAACTATTTTAAAATTTTCTATTTATTTGTATCGTTATTCAGATAATTGTTTAAAATTTTCTATTTATTTGTACTGCACATTTTAAATATTATTAATATAAATTTTCCAGAATTTGATTATATTTATTTAGAATTGCGTTTCTTACGAAAGACTACTTTGCGACTCGGA